ATTAGTACAACTTCAAGTCTTTTTCCATGGACTGGCAGTTCCATCAAAAGTGCTCCTCTCCTTTCTACTTCAGTCAATACCACACAGAGTAAGAAAAACACATGAGAACACTGGATTTGGTATTAGAAAGATATAATATCAGTACAAGACTGCTACTAAAATGAACTATAGTGTAGGAGTACCTCTGTGCTATTGCTGTCATCTAGTACTGTTCAACTGGTCACCGAGTGACTAAAAGGAAATCTGTTCCAAACCAGAGCCTTACACAGTTTCAAACTGTCTAGTTCATACTTTAGAAAGTAAGAACATTTCAGGGAAAAAGACAGTAACCCAAACACCAGAATTACGATAATGCTGAAAGAGACAATGGCTTCTAGAGAAATACAGTAACACAGACAAGACATTTAAGGAATATACATACTGAATCGTGGAACAATATACTGCAATCCTAGTTAGGAGTGTGATGTCTGAACAGTCTCAATATATAGCGGACGCAGAAATATAGCAGAAAGAGTCTGCTATTTCAAGTTCTGTGGAATTTAAAGTAATCCTTCCCTCAGCTTAATAGCAAAAAGCACAGTTAAACTACTAAGTTCAACAGTACCACTGACATCACCTGTTTTATTGCAAGCCGCTTTTAAGTTGCTAGTATTCCCCTTGTATGTTTAATGGATCAAGTAGAGACCAGCTGTTCAGCCTATGCTACAGTTCAAAGCAACTCAAGGTATTAAGATTCTACCTCAATAGGAAACATGGGAGAAAAGGAGCATTGGGGAACGTAGATAAGCACTAAAAGTCTAATTTTATTTCCTTATAGAATAGCAAAAAGACAGAACACAGAAGGCCCGTCTCTTGGGTGATTACATGACAATTTTTGAAGCTACTACAAAGTGCTGCAACTTGATAAATGCCTCAGATACCAAGCACTCTTGAGGAGACAGTTTTGAATTATTCTAAAAGAGAATTAAGTTATAATTTCATGCTGCAACTGGGGAAAGACAGAGGGAACCTTAAAGCTGGCAGCGTTCTAGAGAGCTGACAGACATCTGTCATTGAAAGAATTATTTAAGTGTAATGCTGTGGGATACAGATAACGCCTTTAAGCATTGACTATGGAACTGCATATTGCACAACTAAACATCCATAATGGGAGAAAGTTTAGTTTTCTATCAACTAATAACCAACTCAGGAATGGTACTAGTATTAGAATTACCAGTTCTAATCATTTTAGATTAGAATGATTAGAATTATTCTAATTCTTAGGTTAATACATAATTAAAAAAAATTAAATTAATGGAGAGGTGAGAATTAACCTAATTTTCAGAGGAAGAACGTACTCATTAGAAGCTCAGCCAGTCTCACAACAGCAGCACCCAATGCATTTAAGAGGCTAACACATGAACAATTATATTTTAAAAAGTGAGATGCTCATTCCCTCCTACTATGAAATGGAGAGTACTTCTGATTCTGGAGAAGAATGCTGATGAAATGTTGGAGTAGACCCATCACACTTCATAACAAGAGATTAGAATGTTCTTCAAGTGCTTACCCCATGCAAGCTGAAATTCCTTTCAGAAATATTTTCTTGGTTAAACTCTCTCACTCAGACATCCAAGTCCCCTAACCACAAAAAGACCACAGAAATACATCAAAGTAAAAAGATGTTTTCAGCAGTACCGCATTATTTCAGCTGAAACATAAATCAGATCTTAAACGTAGATCAGTCAAATGTGGGAAATTTCAGCGCAGGGCATTAGACATCAAATTTGCATTGCACTACTTATTTAAAGGGACAATCGCCTTGTTATAAGCAAGTTTCAACTGAGAGGAGTCCTTTGTTCTTGAGTCCTACATAGTCCACTATGGTCCGGTTTTTAGGGAAATTATTTCTATTGAAGTACAAAAAGTACAAACTGTCTTTCCTTCCCCTCTTCTGGCTTCTGATTAAGAGGTGTCCAGGGAAATTTAAACCACACACACTAAAAAAAAAAAAAATTTTTCAATTCAGAAAAAGACAGTTCTTACTAAAGCGTGCTGAGGAGAGTGATACCATGCCAAAACCAAGCTTCTGTTTATTGGCTCTATCAGTTCCTCCTTGGATATGCACAGGTTTGATAACCTTTGAGAAATCATTTGCACTCTCCTTTTGGCTTCTTGCAAAGTATAATTGGTTAACTAATCCACACCTCACTGAAAACTATTGTAATTTTCTAAGAACCTACGTTAACTACTGGAATACTTTCTATGTTTGGTTTTGAGCTCTTCAAAATGAGATGACAATGACATTCCCCATTTATGAAACGCAAGGATTTTCTGGTTCTTCAAGATCAGTAACAAAGGATGAAAATAAAGTCCAGCATATGCTACACTGTACAGTTGTAGTATTGGTTCAGAGTAGTTGATGAATACAGTTGTGCTGCACTGTAACTGAGCAAGACTAAAGCACCCCCAACCCAAGTGAGAGCTGTATAGCCGCACGCACACGACATTCTCAGTATTATATCCAAGATATCCCTGCTACCTATTGCCATGAGATAACAACCAAAAAAAAAAAAAAAAAAAAGAAGAGATGTGACTGCTCAGGACAGGTACCATGCTCTTTAATCTGAGCTGAGTCAATTTTTAACAATGTATTTGGTCTTAGCTAAACTTTATATAAAGCACAAGTTCTGCACATGCAAGAAGTTTTTATTAGAAGTGATATGCTGAAATACTTGTACTGAGGTCTAAAACACCAGTTACTGCAATTATACTGGAACTGATTTTATGGGGAGGTTGGAGGGCTAATGAAGAGGTTTTTCTGGTCCCCAAACAGATCAGAGAAATCCCTTATTCAGTGTCTAAACAGAGAAGTCTGTTTAATTACAGTAAATCCTATTAAATTGATCTTCCTTAAAAAGGGTTGAAGTGACCAACTCCAAAAGGCTACAGAAGACACAATGAATTCAGAGTTTAATTAGGACACACTGTTACCTAACTACAATCTATTAATTAGCATTCTTAATTTTTACAGCTCACTGCAATAATACCTTTTTACTTTTAAATTGCACCCTTCTTTTTTTGAACCAAAGTTATACAATTCTACCAGTGTGGTAGTAATTATAGTGATTGCCTAGAGAACAGTGGCTTGGAAATATCTGTAAATGTTTAATTAGGGGATAAAGGAAAGACAAGAAAAAAAAAAACCACACAGATAGAAGAATCACTGCTCTCCGATCTATACATATTTAGTAACCGCTTAATCCATTCTAAACCATACATTCATTGCATTTTTCTTGCAGGATTTCCACAGCATCCTCAAATGTCAAAACCGATTTCAGAAAAAATGTTACTATATTCCCAGACATTCTCTCCAGTATGAAAGCAGAACTTAAAAATTAAAATAATTTGAGAATTAAAATACTTACCTGCAGATGAAATACAAAGAGGATCAGAAAGTTGAGTGATGGTATTCCATGTATTTATTATGTTGGTACTGTACCACTATAACTAAAATTTTCACTGGATTACTCCTTCTAAGGAAATCCTACTTTTGCAATAAAAAATTAACTTTAGGTTTTCTTCACTCCAAGAAGACATATGAAAATGAAAACGAAATGTTGCACACATTAACAACTCCCATGTGATACTTACCATTCGCTAAGAATACAGCTATACAATTACATGACAAGTTCATTAAATTATTGCATACTGACTCAGGAAAAGCAACTTACTTTCTTCAACTCAGTTCTTTAAAAAGTGAAAAGAAAATTGCAGACAGCTTCAGTGTAGCAGATTATCACTAACCAAAAGGAATCTACTATTTAAGACAGGTCACCTGAAAGTAGAGTATAACATGTTAAGTACTACCAGCACTATTTTTTCCCCCAGCAGTTCCCCTCTCCCTTCCACCTTCTAAAGCAAATATTAAAAAAAGCACTGCCTAAAATTGCAAGTACACCCTAAGAGCTTCAAGAACGCAATCACACTTGAATTAGGAAACTATTTCATTAAACTTTCTTGGATATTTAAAAAATTCAATAGGGAAAGTAATTTTGTCATAGTGAAAGCTGAATTACATTTCAGGAAGTTTTTGGAGTTGGACACTGGGCCTCTTTTCCATAAGAGTGGTGAGATTTCTTACCAGAGAGCTCAGAGAGATGTCTAACTCATTTTTGGTCAGGAACAACTAAATGGGACACTAACTCAAAGACAAGTAGTTACTTCAGGATTAAGCTAGCAAGAAGGTCTAGGTGGGAAAATCTTTAAAAAGCTTTTAATAAGTAGGGCTGACTACAGAGAGATCTCAATTTTAATCAAACTCTCAGTTTTATTCTAATTTAGGGATGCTTTTGAGAGGGACAAGACAAAAGAACTAGGCACCCAAGATTCTCTGTTGTTCTGCCTATTCTCTAACTAGCCAGACCACTACTGGCTAAACTGTAGGGTGCTCTATGATCGTTGCATAACAAGATATGCACAGCTTATGACAAAAGAATAAATGAGCAGGTATTAAACTGTTACTTAAATGTAGCCAAGAACACAATTTATATCTGTTTGTGAAAACTGCAGGTCTGGAGGTTCTAACTGGAGCTCTAAAGTAAGACCAGTGTAACACGAACTTTTTTTTAACTGGCAAATCTGTCAACATTCAGCAACAGTTCAGCTATATTTGGGGTCAGTAGTTAGTACATTCTGTATCTCAAAGAATGATACAAGAGGCACACAATACAGAAACACTAATTATGAACAGGGTAAAATGCTTCCAAAATGAAACAGAGTGGTTAGCATTGGTCCTAGAAAAAAAGCCATGACATGCAAGGAGAAAGCATTCAAGAGGCGGCTCACAAGTCCAACAAACATTTAAAAAGAGGTTTGCAAGTTGAAAACACATCTTATTGACACCAATTACCTGGGAAAAGTACCAATATAATTTAGCTGCTTAAATGTGACATGCAAGTTTATTGAATCCATTTAATCATACTACTGCATTAACACAACAGTGACCTTAGATGACAAACCTGGTTTTCTTCTTGCAAAACTCTATATTGTTCCTTCCAAATGGTGATTTTTGAAGCTTCATCTTTCCTCAGAGCTCTCTCCTTTTTTAGCTCAGGACTCCAGAAGGTCTTGATACTGTTCATGGAAGAACTCAGCTTGCTTTCTTTCACCTCCACATCCTTGCGAAGCAGATCGTTTTCCCTTAATACTTCTTTGAGTTGTGTCTGCAGATCCATTATTGTGTTATCTCTGGCCTGGCGCAGTGAGTGAGGCACAGTGGATGCCATGCTTACTGGAGGGAGATGGTGCTCTCCAAATGCAATAGTATCACTGGCAACTCCACTGCTGGCAATGTTAGGGCTGCTACCCATTGCAGTCATCCTAACACCGTAAGGCAGCCGCCCCCCAGATCGACCCAAAGTCATGGTGCTTTTTGGGGTGTCTGCACCCACGTTCTCATGGTCACTTAGATACATAGGGCCGGACGTAGCGTAAGCAGCATTTAAGGACTGAATATTTTCCATAGAAAGGGTTTTCCCACTGCCACCCCCAGTACTACTCCCAGAACTGCCTCCTGTGCTGTTGGTTCGACGATGGCCCAAGCGTGGTGACCGTGGCAGCCTTGGTGAACGCCCTGGACTCTGGTTGCTTGGCTCAACCTTACCAACCGACCGTGCACTTCCATACATGATTAAGCTGGTGGTGTGAGGCAATTAGATAGGCATAAATCAGGAATGAGAGAAATCCTGTTAAGTTCTTCAACAGTTGTAAGTCAGCTTAAGGCCAATCACAACTTATAGATCCAGTTGTCCATCTTTGAAGTCACGTGCTCACAACGTTCAGGACCATATCTGTATCAATAAGAATAACATATTAAAATCTGTATCAATAAAAATAATACATTAATACCTAGTTTATCACCAAATATTTTGTCCCACATTAGAATAAAGTATATGCTACTACCTTCACACTTTTCCAGAATCTTTTCAATCCCCACTCACAAAAAAGGAATCTTTTATTTAAACTCTAATATTTAACCTCAAAAAGGAACTTCTATTCTTGCTTTTCTGTTGTCATATTATCACAGTAAAGACAGAGAGGAAAGACAGTAAACACCAGAAGTTCAAGTGCTCACTCTCCCCTTCTCTCACTTTCTCTTTTTTAAATGACAACCAAAGCTAGCAACAATATTGCTACAGACTATTTTAAAACACCTATGTAAAAGAAAATAGGCCAAGGAAAAATAGCCAGCAGCATTAATAATTGAAGTTAGCTACCAAAATATCACCTACAGATTTACTTTTTTTTAATACAGGTTACAGATAAGACATTTCTTCTACTTCGGCTACATTTCCTAATGCAAAACAGTACAGAAATATAAACTATGTAACAAAGTCTACAGTGTTCCACTAGAGTTGCTTCAATAAACAAGACACTGTGCCCTAGATCTGGAAGAAAAGAAACTTCTTCCAAGTAGAAACCCTATTTCAGACTAATCTCACTGTTTGAGATATCAAAATGCTAAAAATGCTGCTGTGACACCACCTGAGCACTCAAAACAAGTCAGGTATGATTTCTTAGACACTACATAAAGTACATTCAACTGAGAGCTTGCATTCATGAGGATTGTCTTGAAAATTAATCCAAATCACAGCACTTTACTAATTTGCTAGAAACTCACCACAGTAAATCAGTGCAAACATTCATTCACTTAACAGCTTTAAATGAGTTTAACTTGAACCAAAAGATTGAACATGTTTTATTCTGTGTGTTTCAGTTAAAGCACTTTCCCCAAAAAACATGAACTTTAAATGTTGCTAGAAGTACATTACAGTTGCATTCAGAAGTATCACCTAGGAAAGTGCTTAACAACACATAAGAAGCACACAAAAGATTTTAAGATTGTTTCTAATGAATTAATCACTCCCAAAATGGAAAACTCACAGAACTGCTTTCTCCTTGCTTTAGCAAACATTTTGTTAAACTATTAATAGCTTTTCAAAGAATGAAAGTGATGGATGTCCTTGACAGAAAAGTAGCTTCCCAGGCAGCTGAAAGGAGCTGGTACCAGAGCAGGTGCTGTGCAGTAGCCATTCTCTAACACCTGGGGCAGGCAGGTTAGCTCTCGTCCACCTTAACTGGAAACACCAGTCCTATGCTAACTCAGCTCTAAGTTTTGTTTCACAGGTAGGCCCCATCCCCTCCGTTGCTCCAGAAAAATCAACTAATTCAAGCTACGAAAGCCAACTGCCAGAATTAGCTGTTGAATAAGGTTACAGAAAGGATTCCCGGAGCGGGCACACATGAAACCCAGGGAGTAGAACTCCAACATCTCTGCCATCACCACCACGCGTTGCACTGCACTCACTTTTCAAAAGCAAAACCAAACAAATGCAGTAGATTAAGAAAAGAAAAAGTCTTTGGAAACAAGCAAATATAAACCTCTGGTATTTCTCTTGAAATGAGAACTTTCATTACACCATTGTTAGACCTTAACACTGTGAATATTCCAAATATTAAGTAAATACACCCTTCCAACCACGCAGTCAACTTCAGTATTTTCACTGACACAGACATTTGTCATGGTTCAAGAAGAAAAAACCAATATGTCACCAGATAAATCTTAACCTTTTTTTTTTTTTAATGTTTTTCTAGTAGCATTTATCACTGGCCATTTCACTTTGTTGCTATTAGGAATTTACAAGCAGAAGTAGATGTTAAGACAATTCACACTAGGAAAAACATCTTTCATCCTGGAAACAGCAAAGTGAAGGAAGTGACAGAAACGTCTTCTCTCATTTGCAATACCAATTAATCAGGAAGAAGAAAGAGTTCTAGTTTCCCTCCAGGAGTTCAAGCAAAATTACATGGAAGATTTCTTTCAGATAGCAACATAACCAAAAAAGTTCAAGTTTTTCAATATTGTGACCCACACTGCATTTTACATGTCTCTTAACTCTCTACTTATCATCTTCCATGAGGCCAACATGCACACTGTTACTTTTTTCTTCTTCCACTATGACCCTAAATTTAGCCACAAATAAATGATCCCTTAACCTTAGAGGATGGTGGTAACCACAAGGAACACTGTCCAACTGTGACATGAACATATTGACCATTTTTCCTTTGCAAACTCTCCCATAGGTTTCAAAAACCTTTGGTCCTTTCTGCCAATACAGGAACCCTTACCTAAGATTACAAAGAAAGAGACTATAAATGGCAAGCATTTCAAAATACCAAAAACTGCTGAAGCCAGTGCTAAACCATTTTTCCTTAAGGTAGCTTGCATACCTTTACATTTGTGGAACAAAACTCTCTTGTTCACCAAGACAACAAAAACTTCCAAAGAGCATCCTATCTGCAAGTCAAATAAAAAATTTCCCAAGACTTAATGTCAGCCAAAGTAAGAACTTCATATAGGTATCTAGAGATTGGCATAGCAGCTTTGCAAGTACAAAGACATACAATTGACCTGCTCCAGTATTAGCTGAAAATGCTATCTAGCGAATACGAAAACGCTTGAAAGAAGGACTATCAAAAGGATAAAAAGAATAGATGAGAACTACACAACATTGTAGAAAAAGGTTTGAAAAAAGGACAGTTATGAACATATTTTCTGTATGAAAGGTAGATAACAGTATATCCTGCCTGAAGTGCCAGCTAAGAAAAATGTCTTCTAAGATCACAGGTAACTATCCAAAAACACTCAGCGACAGACACCATGAACTGTGAAAAAAGTTTACAATCTGACAGTAAATATTTAAATGTACTACAGTGTGACTTGTAGCAACTAAAATGGATCTGTTTTATTACACCAGCCTACTCATAGCCAGTGAAAAGCAATGGAGAACCAAGCCTCCTTCAAAACAGCAAAGCAGCTACCACTCCAAGAAGTATAACAATACCCAGAACCACACATCAATGAAAACGGTAATTCAAAGCAGCATGAAAGCTGCTAACTCCTGCGTAAGAACCTAGCACGCTGAAAGAATAGTAAAATGCAACCCGCACAAGTTCATGCAGACTTAATTGTAAGGTATTTACGAAGTGAGAGAGGGCAGGAAGAGGTTTGCTAGTCTTGTCAAAAAATCTGGTGGTTTTCAATAAGAGTTGCATTCAAGCATAGCAGAAATGTAAGTAATTCTGGAAGGATCACATTAACATCAACTTCAGGATAAAGAATCCAACAAAATGAGATGTGTTTATCAACACTGTCACACTCAGCCTCTCCATCTAGTATTTTATGTGAACCAATGGCTCAGAAAGCAAACATTCCTGGCAACGGCTAACAGAAAATGGAAGATTCATTAACACAAAGTTTTGTTAACCACTGAAGGATCTGTCATATAAGTGTATGATGCCTTCCATATCTCCCCTTACTCCAGGGCAAATACTAATACCACAGTAACTACCTCTAGGTAGGTAAGCAACCAAATACAGAAAAATATACTGCAGAAATACAGGAACATCTCTGCTTACATTTGTTAGGACAATAAGAATTCTGGAATAACTTCCGCAGCCTTCAGCAAGTAACATATCCTCTGAATTTCTTTTCTGCAGTTTCTCTTCAGGACTGAAACCAGCTGACAGACAGCAACATTTACCGAGTCAACTCCTTCATAGCGTCACTGCCTGACAGTCAGAAATGGGGCAGTTTGATCACGAGCTAGGCAGGGAAGCACATCTTACAGCACAGTGACCCCTTTAGTGCCTCCCATCAGCATAATGGAAGCCATATACCCAGCTTCCAGAAGACTGAACTTTCTTGCAGCACCAATTCCCATCTGCACAAGGAAGCTTTCAATGTCAGTTTTATAATAGCAACAGAAAAGTCAGCCTTTACAAGAGCTGTCTTAATCTGATAAAGCACTGTAGCAGACACATTAGACTTAACTAACAGAGGTAGCAATTGTTCACATTTTCATAATTCACACCCAAATAGTTAATCGTGAATAAGTACAACTAGATTACACAATAGGACCTGCA